GCACAGCAGGGAAGTTCCCAGTGGCTCAAGGCTCACCAGGTGGTGGCACGGACTCAGTCAAGGGCAGTGGCTGTGGTGGGTGCCAGCTAGCTTAGGCCTAACTTCTGCCTGTACAGGGGTGCTATGAAGAGCAGGGCAGGAGCTCTGGTTGGGGAGGGCCTCCCAGCTACGCCACCCCCACTTCCTGGGAGTACAGGTTTCCCTCACTTTATGCAGGTTCTGTATATGCGAATTCGCTATTATGCGATGACCCTTTTTACACCCCAAATTTGTTATATGCAAGGTAAATTTGCTATATGCAAGGTAAGTCTGTAGGGGAAGGGGCGAGAGGGCACAGCGCCTGCAGGCTGATGGCATCAGCCGCTCCTGGGGCTGTAGCAGGGAGCAAAACAGAGGGAAGTGTCAGTTATGTAAATTTGGGTTATGCACAGTTTTCTGGGAACTCATGTACCGTAGAAAGCGAGGGAAACCTGTAGGTTGGGTATTTCTCCCCTTAGGAGGCATCCTCGAGGTAAGGGCAGGAGCACTGCTGTGCCAAGCAGTGGGCACTGAGCCAGCAGGGTCGTGAGCAGAGCCCTGTGAAGCACCATACCTGTACAGGCCAGGGCTGGATGGGCGTGGTGCCATTCTGGAAGCACAGCTGGCTCCGGCATTTGGAGGCTTCTCTTGCCACCAGCTCCCACTTCTTTCCCTGCCCTAGGAGTCCCGTTGGATCGGCCGGATCCAGGATCACAGGGCTGCAAACACACAAGCAATCCTTCTCCATGCTTGGTTCTGGGCTTTCCGGCTGCTGTTGGACCCCAGCCCACTCTCTCCCAGCCCTGCACATCCCTTCTCACACAGCTCCCCTGGCTTCTACCCACGGCACCTGTTCCCCACTCAGGGCTCTGTAGGTTACCCTGTCTCTCCTCCCACCATATCTGTGTGCAAGGTGTGGCAAGGGCGGGGCTCAGTGGTAGGGTTGGCTTACTGGAGCCTTAATCACAGGGGCTCAGTGATGAGGATAACAGTGGTGGGGCTGATGCTGGGCCCTGGGCACAGAGCGGGCAGCACAGACACTGAAAAAGCAGGGCTTTGGCCAGCCCCAAGTAAAAGGAAGGGTGGAGTTGCTTTAATCGGGGAGCCTAGTAGCACCTTGGCCATAGCCAGGCAGTGACTGATGCAGAAGCTTGGATGGAACTGGGCAAGGCTGTGCCCTATGTCTCACATTTATAGGACTTGGGCAAGGGTCTGGCCCCACTGACGACCCTGGGATTTGGACTTCTATGGGCTAGGGCTTCACCTTCAGCAAGAGCATGCCTGGACAGCTTGTGCATGTCTGGATATGCCTGAGGCTTTGGAGGTCCAGCAGGGGCTGGCTGGTGCATCCTGAGCAGAACTGCCCATTCTCTCTCTTGGGGGTGTATTTCACTGAAGTGCACCTGCCCGCCCCAATGGGTGCCTCCCCAGACCAGGACCAGGACCAGGACCAGGACCAGGACCAGGACCAGGGCCTGGCCAGTCAGGGCAGGGATGGGGAGGAGCCGCGTGACATGAGTGACACCGCTCTCACCGCTGGTTCCTCAGCTGTTGCTTGATGTGGGCCCCCACCACGGGGTGCTGGAAGTCGTAGAACTCGGTCCAGTAGACACAGAGCTCTTGGTACCGGCACAACAGCTCCATGACAGTGCAGAAGCCCTCGGCCGTGCTGAACCTCTCTGCTCTTTCGGTGCCACTCTCCCAGGCGTAGATGGTCAGCAGCTCTAGGGCATACTTGGTGGGAAGGACTGACAGGGTGTAGCTCTCGAGCAGGTACTGTTAAAGGAAGGGAGCCAGCTGAGATGGGGGGCTGCTGGGGTCATAACCCGATCCCCTGCGGTCCAGCCCCACAGTCACTAGAGGAGCCAGCTGCTTGGGCAGGGGGTTGGCGGCATGAGACTAGTTAGTGAGAGGGTGCATGTGTGCGCACGGAGCAAGGGGACTGGGGCCCTGTCCCTGGCTTGGTGTCCGTGGTGGTGCTGGCAAGAGGCACAGGAATTTGGGGAGTCAGAGCAGGACTTGTCCCTGCCCGGAAACACACAGACCTGCGGGACCAAACCTGGGAGCCTGATGTCAGGCCCCTCAACCCCTTAAGGCGTGGGCAGCATCACAGAGGGCCAAGCACCTGCTGCTGCATCTGGAAAGGCTGGCTGGTGAGATCTCTTGGTGCCTTGGGGAAACTTTTCCCTGCTGCCCTGCGTGTGCAGGGGCAGGACCGGGCCCCTTACCTTCTTGTACCAGTGCTTGATGAGACGCAGCAGGTTCTTGAGCTTGGCCGGGCGGCGCTTCACAAAGTTCTTCTGCAGCTCAGTGAAGGTGGTGGAGAACGTGCTGGGGCCATATCCAGCCTGGATCAGGTCCACATAGACCTGGGGAGGGGGTCTGCAGCCAGGAGTCACATGCCCTGGGGGAGAGAGTGGAGTGGTTGGGGGTCATCCTTGTGTCACAGCACTTACCGGGCCAGGTCCAGCATGTGCAGGGCTGATGGGGGACCACATGGCTCTCAGCAACACCCTGGCCTGGAGGCCCTGCCTGGGTACAGGACCCAGCCCCCTCCCCACAAGTTCCTCTCTCCAGGTCAGCCCCAGGGCCTGTGGGACACTGGCTCTGCAGGGCCCCCAGGATCCCTTGTGGCTGGGCCTCATGGCCCAGAGAAGGCACAGGGATCGGATCAAGGGAACGTTCCTACCTAGGGCGTTGTAGGCTGGGAGCACGTCCACCTCAATGGACTCCCGCCGCTTCTTCGACTGGATGGTGACGCAGAGTGAGCGCGGAGGGGTGCTCTTTCCTTTTGGCTGAGAGACTTCAATGTCGATGTTGAAGGCGAGTGATTGTCGGCACCGATTCAGCTGGTTCTCGATGGTGCTGATCACGGATGCACGTTTCTCCACCTGGTCCTGGTAGCTGGTGAAGCAGTTGAGGAAAAGGACCAGATCCGCGTCCGAATTATTCTTCAAGGCTGTCCCCTTCCCTGCAGAGCCGCCCTGCAAAGGAACAGAACCATTGGCTCAAGTGCACTCCATCGCTCTGGGGTGCAGAAAGGCCGGGAGCTGTGGGACCTCCTCCAAGGCCAGCTCAGCCACGCTGCCCCTGTGAAGCAAGTGCCGCCCTGGCTCCAGGCTCATGGGGTGTCAAGCAGCGATTCAAAGTGTTATGACAGCGCACACATCGCTCCCCAGACTGTGCTAATGCTGCTGTTTCCACTGAGGTCTT